CGGCCGGACGTGGCAGCGCAGCGCGACCGCGGCCGTGAACGCTGCGGACGCGCTCGCGACGAGGGAATGGGGAGTGGGGCGTGCAGTATCTCTATACGACAACGACGGTGGCGTCGGCGGTCGAGGGGAGGGGACGCGAGCGGGCCGGGCCGAGCCGAGCCGCGCCTAGCAGTTGCATCCGCTCTGCTGGTTATCGCTGTCGATGCGGATGGGGTCCGGGTAGTCGGCGTAGAGCTCAGCCTCGGCCTCTTGCTGGAGGGCGGCGCGCGCAATCGTCTGGAAGGCCTGCTCGACGTTGATGGCCTCCTTTGCCGACGTCTCAAAGTAGGGGATGTTGCCCTTGGACTGGCACCACGTCATTGCGCGCTTCTGCGACACCATCCGCTTGCCCTCCTCGACGTCAATCTTGTTGCCGAGCACGACAAAGGGGAAGTTTTCGGGGTCGTGCGGCGCCGCCTGGATCAGGAACTCGTCGCGCCACGAGTCGAGCGTCTCAAATGACTTGGCGTTGTTGACGTCGTAGCACTGCGAGGGGAGCGTGGGCGCGGCGACATCGACAGGTGGTCAGCGCGACGGTCGCAGGGAAAGGCAGTCGGGCACCGGTCTACGGTCGATAACCCACCAGGCAGCAGCAGTCGGCACCGCGGTAGAAGGCGACGCCGAGCGACTGGAAGCGCTCCTGTCCAGCCGTGTCCCAGAGCTGCAGGCGCAGAGCAGAGGCCGAAACGAGACGGGATGGCGGGTGTCAGCTTGACCCGCCCAGCGGCGGCACGACGGACGGCACGCTCGCCACTCACCTGCATGGTGACGAGTCGGTCGTCGACCATGACTTCTCTTGTCAGGAAGTCGGCGCCGATGGTGGCCTTGTAGGCCGACGAGAACCGCTTGTTGACATCTGTCGGGAGCGGCGCGAGCGGCGCAAAGCAAGAGAGGTCGAATTTGGCGAGAATCAGCAAGACGGTACGATAGCAGCGGCGCGGCGCAGCGACCCTTTGACGCGCAGAGGGGGGGACAAGGATGAGCTCACATTGGTTCATGAGCGAGGTCTTGCCAACGCTGGACGAGGGGGAAGGAGGAAGGGCGAAGGAAGGCCAGGGGCAGGGTCAGCTCCACCGTCGCATGGCTACTGCCACTCTTGCGATGCACGCCGATGCTCACCCAGAGTCGCCAAGGATCTGTGCGTGGGTTGAAGGGCGTCCGAGAGCGAAAGAGGTAAGGCAGGGATGTCAGAAGGTGCGAGTGGGCATCGAACGGCAGCCGCGCCCGGGTTGGACTCACGATGACCTGGGGGCGAGCGAGTGGGCGTGCGAGTTGGGCAAGGCCAGGGGTAGCGAAGCGGGAAAGCACGGCGAGGAGAGTGTCAGCGAGGGTGCGCTCGCACGGCTACGCATGCGTGCTGTGGCGTCCACGTACCTTGAGGAGAACCTTCTTGCGGCTGGCCATGGTGATAGAGGCGCTGGATACGAGAAGGCGAGGTGACTATGGGTGCGGTGTGGAGCTGAGGCTGTGAGACGGTGGAGGATGCGTGGTGGTGACTGGCAGTGCGACAGGGGCAGAGGAGAGTAGCGGTGGTGGTGGTGGTGGTGGTGGTGAGCAGCAGCAGCCGTCGGTCGTTTGCCAGGTGTCGATGGTGGACTCCACTTTCTGTTGGCTGACTGCGGAGATCAACAGGGCCAGGGCCAGGCCGCACATGGAGCGAGCGAGCCAGGCAGGCTTCGGCACTGGGACGGTCGGGGGCGCGAGGGCCAAGGGGCATGCGCTACTGAGCCGGCCTGGCCTTACCCCTGCCTGCCTGGAGTGGACGCCCGCATGCCAGCCCACGCTGCTGCGTCACACACACGAGCCAGCCCCTGCCCTGTCTGGCCTGGCCTGGCCTGGCCTGGCCTGGCTGGGCCGCCTTTGTGCGTAATCCGCCCGACGGCCGCCCAGCCTGGACCTGGACCCCTCGACGTCTTGCCAGCCTACAAGCCAGCCCATGCCCAGGCCCAGCCTCGCCTCGCCTCGCCTTGGGCTGCTCTGGAAAATCCAGCTGGAAAATCGAGGTGAAATTCATGTGGAGTCGTGCGTGCACGCATCCAAAGGACCCTGAGCCAGTCTTGGGCTTCAGCCTCGAGCCTCGAGCCAGCAGCTGGCAGCCAGGCCCCAACTGGCCCGCGCACGGCCTGCTGCTCAGAGCCTGGCCTCTCCCACCACGGCCATCCCGACTACCCCTCCTCCTCCTCCTCCTCCTCCTCCCTCCTCGTCAACACGTAGGCACAGGACCCATCCTCAGCGTGTAGCTCCATCGCACCGTACCGCAGCACCCGAACAACAGCATGGCCGCCATCGGCCTGGGTGCGCCCTCGACCACGTCGGCGGGCGCCGGCGCTCCGCCCTGGCACCGCCTCATCCACCTCCGCCTCCAGGAGCGCGACTCGTTTGAAAAGCAGCACGATCCCGTCTACCGCAGCTGTGGGTAGTCAGTCAGGCGACCGAGCTCGGCGGCGGCTCAATGACCGGTCTGACATCGTCCTCACCGCTCCCTCCGCCCTCTGCCCGCCCTCCCATCGCAGATGCCAACCTGGCGGCGCACGCTCGCCTGCTCAAGCAGCGCAACCGCTCGCTCCTCACCGCCTCAAACCTCGTCAACGCCCAGACACCTACCAAGGGACAGGCAACGGCCCCGTCCTCTAGCACATCTCCATCCGCAGCAGCAGCAGCAGCAGCAGCAGCAGCGGCGTCCTCATCGACCGCCGCCGCCGCCGCCGCATCGACCTCGGCGGGCGCATCCGGCACCAACCCCGTCCACCTCGCCTACATTTCGTCGCTCGAGGCGCAGCTGACGGCCCACCGCGACGAGATCGCCACGCTCTACAAGACCCAGGGCCAGAATGCCCAGAGGCTGCTCCTGATGAACGAGAGCCTGAGAGAGCGCGAAGACGAGAGCCGCAGGCAGGCCGACGAAATCGCCCGCCTCACAAACGAGCACGACCGGCTCAAACGCTCCGCAGACGACCTCGCAAACGCCGTCGGCGAAAAGGAGAGGGGCATCCAGGTGAGCTTCTACGCGCCGCACCAGATTGCACCGCCAGATTGCACCACATCGCCGAGGTACCGGCCTCAGCAAGCCGACATCTCGCTGACCCCTGCTCGTTTCCTCCCTGCCCTGGACGGCCATCCCCATCTCCACCCCACCCCTGCCACGCACACCCGCCCGCCCGCCCCTGCAGATCCTGCAAGATGAAATGGTCGCCCTCTCGCTGGAGCTGTCGCAGATCGAGTCGCGCAACGAGGACCTCAAGAGGGACAATGCCAGCCTGCTCCAGCGCTGGCTCGACAAGATGAACGAGGAGGCGGAAAAGATGAACGAGGGCACCCAGTGGCTCGAAGAGGTGCGCAGGCGAAAGCAGCAGGGACTGCAGTCCAAGCCGTCGCTGTCGTCGTCCCAGCACGACGGCGGCGACGGCGACGGCGACGGAGTGCAGCAGGGCAAGACGACCACGACGACCCCGGTGGCGGCGGAGGCCGAGGGCGGCGATCGCGCGGAGCCCAAGCAGGATGCTTGATGGCACACTTTTCGCAGTCCTCCTCGGCCGTATGCAGGCATCTTCATAACTTTATACCCGAGCTGCATCGGTCGAGACCATTGGGCAGCAGCATCACCTCCGCCGACGTGCTCGCCGTCACCATCTCGATCCTTTCGACGGGGCGGCTGACACTCGACAGCGGCATCGCTCTGGCATCGCATCACAACGTCGTCGGCTGGCCCGGACTCATGGGGGACAAGAGTCCATTCTGGGAGGTCATAGGCGATGAGGCGAGGCGAGGAACGGGATGCAACAAGAAAGAGAAGATAAGCCGACGATGCGAGCAGACGACGCAGCGCGGCGCAGCGCAGGCCACGAAGAGACGACGCAGCGACGCGACGCTATGCGGCGCCGCGGCCACCGCCCGCGACGGCTCTTTCAGCGCCAGCTGGCGCTGACGAGCCTGCTGACGGTGTGGAGCGCATTGAGGCGCACCTCGTTGTCGTCGGACGACATGAGCTGCATGATGCGCGCCTTTGCGCCGAGCTCGGTGACGCGCTTCTTGCCCTGCTCAAAGAACTGGACAAACTTGCCCACATCGCTGCACGCCACGGCGAGCGTCTCGGGCTCGTCGCTCTGCTCGAGGACCTCGACGAGCTGCTTGAGCACCTCGCCGTCGCGCTCGACAAACTTGGGCGCATTCTCGCGCCAAAAGTCGTCGAGCTCGTGCGCCGGGTTCTCGTGCGTCAGCTTGCCCGACGAAAGCTCCGACAGGTACTCGTCAAACGTGCTGCGCGCGATGAAGGGGGAGGAATGGGGAGGGAGGGGGGCAAGCAGGCAGGCGGTACGACGGCCCGGTCAGCAAGCGAACGTGGCGCTGCGCGTCGGACGGGAACGACCTGGGCGCCCTCGGGCCGGCCAGCTCCGACTCACCTCATGCCCTTGAGGCGGTGGGCGAGGTCGTCGCGGATAAACGAGAGGTCCTCTTCGATCTCCTCGTCGCTCCACTTTCTCGCAATCAGGTTCTCGCTCAACGGGAGCAGCTTGCTGCCCAGCATGGCCGACGCGTTGGCCTCGGGTGCCTTGCTCAGCAGGTTCTTGAGCGTGGCCACCGTGACGCGGATGACCTTTTCCTTGACGGCGTTGCGCGCCACGTCGTAGAGCACGGGCACCACGCCGTACTTGACGTTGATCTCGGCGGCGATGTCGTCGTCGAAGCTGAGCAGCCACAGGCACAGCACAATCTGGTAGACGAGCTGCGTGCTCGCCCGCTCGCTGCTGCTGCCGCTGCTGCCATTGTTGGTCAGCGCGCCCGCGACGAGCGTCGAGGCGGCGCTCGTCGCCGTCGTCGCCGTCGTGTGGCGCGATGGCGTAGTGGCGCCCGAGCCAGCGGGAGACGCAAAGTTCGAATTCCTCGCCGAGTCGGGCCGCACCATGCTGAAGCGGAGCATGTGGACCAGCTCCGGCAGAAGGCCCCGCTCGCTCCCCGCCGCCGCCGCCGCGTCGTCGCCGTGGTCGCCCTCGCTGCCGTCGCCGCCGGCCTTTGTGCTCGAGGCGTTGCCGAGGCGCCTCACCTCTTCCCTCCACACCTCCTTGCGGTACGAGTGGGCGCGCAGCAGCGCCTCGAGGAGGACGAGGGCAATCTCTGGGCCGTTGCCCTCGGCATAGTCGGGCGACAGGCGCCGGGCTGCAGGCGACGGGGCTCCTTCGCCGCCTTGGGCATCACCGCTGTCGCCCCCGTTGCTGTTGCCCTGCCCGGAAGAAGACGCCGACTGTTGCTGCTGCTGCTGTTGCTGTTGTTGCTTCTGCGTCTGCTGTGCCGACTTTTGTGCGGGAACCTGGCTCAAGGCTCCCTGCAGGAGCGAGGTGAGGAAGGTGAGGAGGCGGGGCAGGACGCTGGCGGTCGCCTTTGGCTGCGATGACCGCGATGCCGAAAAGACGAGGAGAAGGGTGAGGAAGTGGGCGGCCTTGAGCTGGACAAAGTCGTCCGGAACGTCGAGCAGCCTGCGGCCGATCAGGGGTACGTCAGAGTCACGTTGCGGAGGAGGGGGCCATCAATGGGTGAGTGCTGCGGTAGCGCGAAATCGACGGCGGCCATTGACGGGCGAAGGGCAGTCGACTCACTTGACAAACGGGCGCCACGGGAAGCCGACGCCGTCCTGGACCTCCTGACCGTCGAGGGAGAGGAAGAGCTCGATGCGATCGTCCCTGCCTACGAGCATGTCGTCGACGAGGACGAGGATCTGCTGGAGAGTATCGGTGCGGCTGAGCTTGGAGAGGAGGCGCAGGTAGAGGGAGACGTACTCGGGGCCGTGCTGGTCGAGGAGGGGGTCGAGCTTGGAGCGGTTGCCGCCGACGACGACGGCGTCGACGGACTTGATCATCTTGAGCTCCTCTGCGCTGAGGAGGTCGGCGCGGTGGTAGCCTTCCCATGGGATGGGGCGGGAGCGGATGCGGCCGGTGAGCTGCTGGATCCACTTGTTGGTGAGGTGTACGAGCGGGGGCGCCTCGACAGTCTCCCTCTGCTTCTTGTCGGACCCCTGCTGCTGATCCGCTTGAGCGGCGTTGGAGGACGACATGGTTGTGGGGCGGTGGCAGCGACGATGGCGGCAGCAAGGTCGAGGCGGTGCGCCAGGGTGGGACCGAGTAGATGTGCTGTCCGATGGGCGATCGAGACGAGAGCGGTGTGAAGAGCGATCGAGAGCTAGTGGCTATGGCAGGTGGACGTGGTAGCGACGATGACGACGACGAGGAGGCGGTGGTGGTGGTGGCTGCTGCTGCTGGCGAGCGGTGGCTGCAGCCAACAGGCCAGCCCTGGGACGCTGGGGGGTGGTCCGCGCTCGCTGGCTCGCACAACTGAGGCCACTAGGCCCAGGCGGCCAGGTCAGCAAGCGTGCTGCAGGCGCCCCCTGGCTCCCTCTCTCTGTGGCTGGATCTGGCCTGGCCTGGCCTGGCCTGCCTGGGCTTGGCCCCTTGTGGAGTGGGGTCTGTGCCGTGATCGACCTTGAGCCGGGCGAGAGAAAGAGAACGAGAGGGGTTGGCCCGGGTCGGGCGCCTCGGCGGGAAGAAAAAACCTCGCCTTCGCCTGGCCCCCGCGCCCGACGCTGCAACCACCACCACCGACCCACCCACCCTTCGTTGCCTCTGCCTCGCTCGGCGATCATCAACCAACTGACTACCTCTCGCAGGGCATCGCTACCACTCCTCGATCCACCTCCTCCTGCCGGCACAATGAACGCGCGCTCGTCTCTGCGCACACTCCGGTCGCTCGTGCCCTCTGGCACCTCGAGCTCGACCGCCGCCGCTGCCCCTAGTCGGTCCCTCCACCACACTGCGCTCCTCTCCCAGGCGGCTGAGGCTTCGTCATCCGCCTCGTCTTCGTCTTCGGCATCATCGCCGGCAGCACCGCCACCGCAGCAGTCCAGCACCGGCACCAGCAGCAGCAGCAGCACCGCCTCGTCGACCAACCTCGTCTCGTCCCTCATCCTCTCCAGACCACCCACCATCCTCCGGAAGCCGTCCAAGTTCGAGGCGGCCTACTTCGAGTACAATCGCCAGCTCTCCGAGGCGCTCCAGCAGCCCTTCCCCAAGGAGTTCTACTTCAAGAAGGGCTCCGCCTCAGAGAAGAGGTTCGAAGAGGATCAGGCGAGCACGCCGCATGGCTTCGCCGATCCCAAAAAGGCCGGTGGCAAGGGCGCAGCAAAGGCTCAGGCCGACGGCGACAGCAACGACATCATCACCCGCGTGACGGCGGCAGAGGGCGACGCCGAGAACCAGCCCCTGCCGAGAGAGACCGAGGCGGACCTCAAAAACGATCTCCAGAGCCTCCAGCGGAAGCTTGACCGCACCCTCTACCTCGTCGTCAAGCGCAGCAAGGCGGGCTGGTCGTTTCCCAAGAAGGCGCTCGACAAGAAGGCCAAGGAGAATCTCCATGCTGTGAGTGTCTTCCGCTGCATCTGCCTCTCGGAGGCCCCCGTCGGGAAGACGCTGATGTTGAAGACTTGGCCCTATGTTTTGCATGCTCGACCTGACCCTTTCTGTCGCATGTGCAGGCCGCCCCGCTCTCTGTCACGCTTCCACTTGGGAGGAACCTCGACATCTGGCTCATGAGCAATGCTCCCGTGGGCCTCTACCAGTCCGGTGCCGCTGAAAAGGTGCGTCTCGATGATGAGCTCTGCCTCACCTCCTCTACCGCCCAGACCGTCGCTCGACGTTGTCGTACGCGCGAGCTGACATGCGGTTGCCTGCTCTGGCCCTCTCCTCCGCGCTTCGTCTCGCGCTCACCCCTGCCTGCAGACCTACTTTCTGCGGGGACACATTGTCGCCGGCCAGCCGCAGCTGGATGCGGCCGCCGAGGGCGCGGAAAAGGTCGACGAATTCAGGTGGCTGACGCGCGAGGAGATCCAAGAGCTGCTCGAGTCGCAGGACGCAAAGTACTGGAGCTCCGTCGACGACCTCCTCGACCCCTGAGGCGGCACATTGGTCCGCCCGACGCTGTAATGGCAATCTAGACTGGCGGAACGGACCCACCGCTCGATGGCGCCTTCCGCTCTTTCTCCTTGGCGTGGCGAGCGCGACCGCCTGCTGGCTGTGTATGTCCATCGACGAAGCCTGACGCGCCGAGCCTGTCTCAGCAAGCAGAAGCAGACTCGAAGGAGGTGGGTCCCTGGCAACCTTGAGCGCGAGCTTAGCTTCCTATGCACAGCCCTCTCTTGACGCAGACGGCGGCGGTGAGGATGAGCCTTTCCACGCGGAATCGACGGGAAGCGTTCCGACGACGGCCGGTTGCGGTTCCGAGACTCGTCTTGCCTTGAGCTTCCTTCCGGTTGTGGGGCGGCAACGCCAAAAACACTACTCTCAGCTTAGCTTGCTTGGCTTCTTGCTTGTCGGCGACGACTGGGCGGCGTCGGCGGAGCTCGAGGAAGGCACGGGCTGACTTGCTGGGTTCTGACTTGGCACGACAGGGCCTGGCCTCGACGTCGTCGCCGGGCGGTGTGAGCAGGCGTTGGCGGAGGGCGCGCCTTCGGCCTGCCTGCCTCGTTGTCCCGATGCATGTGCAGCGAACCGGCAGCCCGGATGGCGGCGGGCGGCAAGCGGCGAGCGGCGGCGACGACGACGACGACGATGATAGACGTGCGTCGGCGCCGCCCTCGTGACGACACGTACGGCACACGAGGCGGTGCGGTTGCTTGCTTGCCCATCTGCCCCTGGGCGCCGCTTTGTTCGTCAAGAGGCATGCACGGAGGGTCAACATGCGTTCTTCGAGGATGCCGTCGTCCCAGCGCCCGGAGGCGATCAGGAAGGGCTCGCTCACGCGAGCGATCCCCCAAGCAAGCAGGCAGAAGCAGCGCAGAGCAGGACTTTTCTTTTCTTTTTTTAAAAAAAATCGAGGGATCCCCCGAGGTTGCGTATCCAACGGGCCCACTCTGGGAGGCAGCAGAACGTAACGCAGGCTAGGGCTACGGTGGTAACCCGACCACGCCGCGCCCTGACCACGCCTATGTAGCCTCTTGCTTCCATGCTGGCTCGCTCTGCCTTGGCCCGACCGCGCCACGCCCACCGCAGACAAAGAGGCGGAGGCACGCAGGGGCAGCGCAGGCAGGCGGGCAGGCAGAGGCCGCAGGTCGAGGTGCTTTTGCCGGCATGAACCCAAGCAAGCAGGCAGCTCGAGGAGGACAACCATCCGCTCGCCATACGAGGTGACGCGACGCTTGCTCGACGAACCCGGCCGTACGTTTCGCTCCAGATGACGGAGGCGGGAGACCCGGTAGTGGAGGCAGGAGCTCGATCTCGGGTTTGGTCCGGGCGAGGGCCGGACAAGCCACAACCACGCCCCAGTTGGCAGGTGATAGATAGGTACGGTACGGTGTAGGCCGGCCAACCAAGCTGCGCACGCCTAACGTACTCGCTGCTGAGGCTGGCCTGCGTCTGTGTTGCTTCCGTGAGATGCCCAGCCTGCCATGCCGTCGTCCTGGCGCTGCCACGTCGCGACGTGGCAATCTTGAATCTCGTCACCTCAGCTTTTTTCTATCTGCTCCTTGGGAGCGTGCTGCGCTGTGCCTCGCCCCCGACCGAAGCGCGCGCGGTCTTCAAGCCCCGCCGCCATCCAGCCAACCGGCTGGCCTGCGTGGCGACCGCTGGCTGCAGCTGGCTTTGTGCGAGCGGAGCGGGCGCCTGCCATCATGCGGGCATGCAGGCTTCCGGGGCGGCCGCCTGCCTGGTCTGGCTTGCCTGCCTGGCAGCGCTCGCTCGGCTGCTGGCTGGCTGGCCGCTTGCTTGCTTGCTTCCTTCCCCCGCCCCGCCTCATGTCGGGCGCCAGCAAGCTCTAGGCTGCGCCTCGCCTCGCCTCGCCTCGCCTAGCGTAGCCCCAGCCTACAGAGCCTAGCCTAGCCTGAAGTGCCTGACCCGCCGAGCGAGTCGTCGACCGGTGGGCAGCCTGGCCCAGCCTCAGCCTGCCTGCCTGCCTGCCTGCCTGCCTGCCTGCCTGCCTGCCTGCCTCGCCTCGCCTGCCTGCTGCTGCTGCTGCTGCTGCTGCTGCCNCGTTCGCGTCGCCTGGCCTGCCGTGTCTTGCCGNTCGTCGTCGGTCGACGTCGT